AAAAACACTTAGGAATATACCTAACCAAGAAGGTGAAAGATCTCTACATGGAAGACTAAAAAACACTGCTGAAAGAAATCATACATGACACAAATGGAAACACATCCCATGCTCATGGGTGGATAGAATCAATATTATCATAGATGTCATTAAAAATGACCATACTGCAAAAAGTAAGCTACAAATTCAATACAATTCCCAACAAAATACCACCATCATTCTTCATAGAACTAGAAAAAGTTATCCTAAAATTCATATGGAACCAAAAAAAGAGCCTGCATAGCCAAAGCAAGACTAAGCAGAAAGAACAAATCTGAAGGCATCACAGTATCTAACATCAAACTATACAACAAGGCTATAGTTACCAAAACAGCATGATACTGGTACAAAAATAGGCATGTAGACCAATGGAACAGAATAGAGAACCCAGAAATAATGCCAAATACTTACAGCCAACTGATCTTTGACAAAGTAAACAAAAACATGAAGTGGAGAAAGGACGCCCTATTTAACAAATGGTGCTGAGATAATTGGCAAGCCACATGGAGAGGAATGAAGCTGGATCTTCATCTCTTACCTCATGCAAAACTCAACTCAAGATGGATCAAAAACTTAAATCAAAGACCTGAAATTATAAAAATTCTGGAAGATAACATCAGAAAAACCCTTCTAGACATTGGCGTAGGCAGAGTTCATGACAAAGAACCTGAAAGCAATTGTAACAAAAACAAAGATAAATAGATGGGACCTAATTAAAGGAAAAAGCTTCTGCACAGCAAAAGAAATAATCAGCAGAGTAAAGAGACAACCCACAGAGTGGTAGAAAATGTTTGTAAACTATGCATCTAAGTAGTAATATCCAGAATCTACAAGGAATTCAAACAGATCAGCAAGAAAAAAATAATAATAATCCTATCAAAAGTGGGCAATGAATATTAACAGAATTCTTAAAAGAAGATATCTAAACAGCCAACAAACATATGAAAAAATGCTCATTAACACTAATTATCAGGGAAATGCAAATCAAAACCACAATGAGACACCACCTTACTCCTGCAAGAATGACCATAAGTTAAAAATCAAAAAATAACAGATGTTGGTGTGAA